ATTTTGAGAGGGTAGCACGTAATAGTCTCTAGACTAATAAACTTTTCTAATCTTAGGATGCAGGTCTTTATTTGAAGGAGCTTATCCCACCYGTACTGTCATGTTTCTATGATCAAGACAGCCGTGTTCGGTATTATGCATGCGAGGCATTGTATAATATTGCAAAAGTTGCGAGAGGTTCAGTGTTGCCATTCTTTAATGATGTCTTTGACGGACTCAGCAAGGTAGGCAAGACACGGGATATAAAAATTCGATAGAAAATCACTAAAAGAGAAAACTAGCAGTTTCTAATGTTATTCAAACTATACTTACAAATTTTGGTTTTGAATTTTTGTAGCTTGCTGCTGATCCAGATCCAAATGTGAAAAATGGAGCTGAATTATTGGATCGTCTTGTCAAGGTTCTTGCATGTAGTTGTAGTGATTTTTATAGGCAAATAAATTAGTGTTTTGATGTAAGCTAGCCTCCTTTGCTAGCAAAACTTCACTTTTTGTTTTGTTTTGGGGTTCCTGTKGTATCCTCCTGAGGATAGCCAGTGTAATAGCCTTAGGGGAATGAGGACAAGACCAATGGAGAATCCTGCTCCTCATTCCCCTTAGGATAGCTACACTTTCTATGCCAAAGGAAGCCCAAGGGTGGAAAGGAAGAAAGAGTTGCAGAGGCTTGTTATTGAAGGTTTTAGTATACTGACAAAATTGTTTTTATAGGATATTGTAACAGAGAGCTCGTCATTTGATTTGGTGTCATTCATGCCRATACTTAGAGAAAAAATCTACACTGCAAACCCATACGCGAAACAGTTCTTAATATCTTGGGTAAGGGAGTACATTAGAGTACTTACCACATAAGTGTGAAACAATTCAAATAAAGATTTACACCTACTTGCAAAAACGTTGTCATAAAAAATAGGGCATTTGTATTTAGTAAAAAGGAATAAATTAATACAAGGCAAAAGAAGATCACTGAGGCTGAATGCTCTCTTTTGTCTTGTTTTAATCAATTCCTTTTTACTAAATTCAAATGTTCTAGTTTCTGTGACAACGTTTCTGCAAGTAGGTGTAGTTATAAATAAATAATATTTAGTTACTAACTAAGAATTAAGTGATGCATAAACAACAACAATTTTCTTTTCTGGCATTGTGTTCATGCTCTGGTTCAATTCTTAGTTAGTTGATAACTAAATCTTATTAGTTGTTGGTTGCTAAGGATCTTATTAGTTGTTGGTTGCTAAGAATTATTTCCTGCTTTTTTGTCCTGCAGTTTACCCTGTAGAACGAACACATTATATTAATATATAGATTATAGACTATTAGTAGAATGCCGACACTAAAAGCATTATTGCCTGCGATCGTACAGTACCATATACTCTCCGCTTCCCCATCTCAGTTTTCTACATGAAGCTAGAGTTCTTCCTCTCTAAAATCTTCATTTTACCCTTGCTGTCTTKTAGTTAATGGTGCTGGTTTCTGTGCCTGACTTGGACCTACTAAGTCACCTGCCAGAATTTCTAGATGGTATATTTGTCATTTTTAAGGACCGCAGTGCTGAAATAAGAAAAATGTAAGTTTGAATTTCTATTATCCTTCAACTATACAAAAAAAAAACAGATTCAAAAATTCCAGTGAATTCAAGTTATTTGCCAAGGGCCTAGAATAGTCTTCTTTACCACTGAATCTTTCCAAAAATTTAGTTAAAAATTGAAGGAATTGATCTTTAGGTGCGAGGCACTTCTTGGAGAAGTTCTACGCGAAATTAAAAAATCACCAGAAGCTGTTAATTATGCCGARCTGGTGAATATTCTTGTACTGCATTCACAGTCTGAAGGTGAGTCATACTCAGGGACAAATCCAAAATATTCAGCCAAARCAGGGACCCAAATATTTTGAATTTGGTGGTGGATACCGTTGTATACTTTGTATTCTAATTTGGGAAGCTTAATAAAGGTATTTATATGAAAGTTAGCTTCTCGCCATGAAGCATCAAGTTGCAAAGCATTTCAATAATTTGCAATTATTACTGCTAAAGAGTCTTTCCTTTTCTTCACTAATTTTCCAAACACCACATTATTTTACCATTCAGATGAAGTAATCCAGTTTACCGCTCTAATATGGATGAARGAATTCCTGGCCCTTGCTGGTCGCAGCATGCTACCCTTTTGTGCTGCCGTCATTCAGTCGGTCCTTCCGTGCGTCTCATACGACCAAGAAAAACTCAACATCAAAGAGGTTGCCAAGACTGTCAATCAGTGCTTAATGAGGCTGATAACAGAGGATGATGACAAGGTRTATGAAGCCGAGGACATGGAGTGCGATAATGAAATCACTGTGGTACAGATTCAGCTKGATATYGGGCCTGTAGTWGAGGTCTTGACCAAGCAGCTGACACACAAATCAATTCAGACTAGAATTGCWATGCTTAGATGGATACTTCAGCTTCATCTAAAGACTCCAAATAAGGTAATACAGCAATAAGTGTTGTTTGAGAGAGTGCAAGGTATTGTAGGTTGGATATTGATGTAGACTGTTTCMTTATCTTCAGTAGCCAATATAGGCTCACTGTTCAGCTGTTGGGATTTCATATGGACCCACAATACATGTACAAAATCCTGACAGCTGAGCCTACATGTACTAGTATAGCCACTGTAGCCTTCTTTAGATGAAGACTGTTGTTGTTAGGTTGTATGGTTTGTTTGTGTTCATCAGATGAATGTAATTTAGTGTGTATGGTGCATTGTATCAATCGCTGTCTTTGCTTTTGTTTCCAGCTTTTTCAGCACATAGAAGTATTATTTCCAGAATTATTGAAGACTTTGTCAGATCCATCAGATGAGGTACGATTATGTTTAGAATTAAAACTTAAGATTCTCTTTATATTGTAATGTTTTTTTCTGTTATTTATGTTTATTATTTGCTCAATCAGTCATTCAATCAACCAACCAGCCAACCAACCAATCAACTAACTTACCAACCTACCAATCAATCAATCGAACATTCAGTCAATCAACCATCCAGTCAATCAACCAATCTATCAGTCAGTCAGTCAGTCAGTCAACCAACCAATCAATCAACCAAACCACCAAGTAACCTGACCAATCAATCATTCAATGAACTAGTAATTCATTCATCAATCAATCAATTAATCATTCAATCATGTAATGAATCATTAATAGTAACTAGTCAGCACATCATAAGGACATCAATCAATCAATCAATCAATCATCAATTATTTCATCTATAATCTCTCAATGATTCAACAATCAATCCTTATATTATTAATTTTCACCTGTATTATGATTTTCTCTCAGGTTGTATTACTAGACCTTGAGGTATTAGCAGAAATATCTGCATCACAAGCAGGGCCTCCAAGGAACACCCAGTCCACCGAGACCCCACCAACAACACCAAGCTCTTCTGCAGACGAGGCAAACAGTCAGCCGAGACAGCTAAACAAATATTTTCATAAATTCATGCATAGTCTGATGTTGCTGTTCAGAACAGACAGAAAACTGTTGGAAGAAAGAGGCTCATTTATTCTAAGGTAAAAGTATCTGCTTTAAAGATATATTATTTAATTAAACAAAATTGAACTTAGAAAACAATAGAGTGATCGCACTTAAACAGTGCAACTGTACAAACTAAATAGTGCTGTCTAGTTGTATTTAGTGAATAGTGCATGCAGTACACAAATTAAATTGAATTGATAGAGTGATCCAACATCCGTGCAACTGTACAAACTAAATAGTTATATTTAGTTGTATTTAGTAAATCGTGCATGCTGCACGCAAATTAAATTGAATTGATACAAATGAAGAACCCTCTGGCTTCAGGTCCACTTTTAGTACAAATTAGTACTACTTATATTTTGTACAGTTGCAGGGTTTAAATGCAATCACTCTAGAAAAGAAAGGTTTTTGTACTAATTTGTACAATACTTTCATGTCTTACAGGCAGCTATGCTTACTGCTGTATGTGGAAGACATCTATCGGTCATTATCAGAGATCCTTCTCCAAGAAGAAGACTTTCAGTTTGCTGCCCTCATGGTTCGATATTTGAATATGATTTTGTTGACRTCWGGAGAGCTGTTTGACTTGCGACACCAGCTGAAGGAACTCAAGACTGCAGTAAGTAATAAGTCAGTGACTAATATGATACCTAGAAATATTTGTATTATTTATTGACAAATCAGATGTTAGATAATTAACAGTCACCTACAGTCACCTAAAAAAGCTGATGAAATGTTACAGCACTATTTCATTGTTCACAGCAAATACAAACTAAGTTATTTTTTTATCCTGTTTTCTTGTGCCAACTACAGTCATTTTTTAGATTGCAGAACTTTTGCTTTACAACCATCGCATGCAATGTCTTCCTTACAACATGGCTACAWAGGACCCTATTTAACATTATTTTATATCTCTACAACAGTTGTGGTCATGTTGTAAAGACGACTTGCATGTAGGCAATAGTTGTGGTGTTTAATTTGCCCTTGAAAGAATTCTGCTTGGTCAAAGCTTTGTTAATCGCACTCTAAAAGGGTTGGCATGCCATTCACTCGTTTAAAAGACTTGAGTAACTATTCATTTAGTGATAGACTGGTCTCAATCARAAGTCATTTGTATTTTACAGGAAAGCTGTTCATTATTTTGCTGCTTATACAAGTCTTGGTCACACAACCCGGTTGCCACTGTATCGCTGTGTCTGTTGACACAAAATTACCAGCATGCWTGTGACCTGTTAATGATATTGTATCCTTGACAACAGATATCAATATGAATGATGTCTAGCAAATCAACCCCCCTCTCCCCCCCCAAAAAAAAACCAATACCAAAAGAGATTCTTCCCTCTCCCACATTTCACATAAAATGTGGCATCTCATTGAAGATATTCAATCAATTCATTTTGAACAGTTAGTTTTGAATAATAATGATTATTATAAGTATATTTAATGAACATACAATTCATTAATCCTAAGTGATTCTTGTGGTTTTGATCCTTAACATTATTTCCCAGTGGTGACTTGGAAGTCAATGTAGATTTTTTAGTACAAATTGACAAACTGGTCCAGCTCATAGAGTCTCCAATATTTACATGTAMGTACAGGCTTGTCCTATCCACAGAAATATTACAACCAAACATTACCAGTATCTCTTTTTCTTGAAAGTTTTTTTCAAATTTTTTTCAACTGTCTGACATCTTTCTACAGATCTTAGACTACAGCTTCTAGACACTCAAAACAACCATTATCTACTTAAGTCACTTTAYGGACTTCTTATGCTGTTACCTCAAAGCGATGCATTCAATACCTTACGCCACAGACTGGATTGTGTACCTAATGGACGTGTGTTAAATGAGCAACATCGTAGGTAGGTGTGAAGGGTTATTTCTTGTGAGGCATTCATGAAAAAAGCAAATTGTTTCTTTGCTGTTCTTTAATGTGGCTTTCTCTGAAAAGGTATCCATGCCTCTGCATCAAAGTGAAGGGTATTTTTTGCAAAATACACAAAAAAAAATTCATAAAAAAAGCAATTTATATTCTCTTCTGCTGCTCTTTTGCTTTCTCTGGAAATGATGACATGCCTAGCTGCATCAAWGTGGAAAGCCTCTAAGTATGAAGTGATAAAAACCTTAACTTCCATAGACATTATTCACAGGTTTCTATCATCACATGCTTGAGGGTTGTCTCACTTCAAAATGCAAATACACAGTACTAGTKAGGCTAGAGCTATGAGTCTTAATGTTAACTTTCAATTGTTAAAACACATATAGCGTAATAATATTTTATCATGATATGTAGTGATGCCATGTTTTTTCCTCAGAAATAAGGAAAGCCAAGAAGACTACGAAACAAGAGAACATGTTCAAAAAATAAATTTTGAAGAGTTAAAACAACATTTCATGAAGGTGCARAAAAAACATCTTGTTACAAAACATCACCGTCCATCGTTGAACAGACAGAATTTGCTCAATGACTAGAATAGTTTATAATATAATAAAATAATAACATCCTTATAAATAGCGTACCTTGATGGCAGGATAGAACTTTCCAATCTTTATAGATATTTTGGGTACTTTTTTTAACAAAAGTTGTATAAAAATAATGGTTTTAGTAGTCTTAAAGCTTTCGTGTTATATCAAGCGTTGATAAATGAAATTAATCCCTTGCATACAGAAATCCAGCACATTAATTTTCTATGGGAAACATAAACCAATGCTTTAAGAACATTTTTCTGTGATTATGAATCAAATTTGTAGAAGATAATAGACTTAAATAATGACAACATATTTAGAAAAATAATTAATTTATTGACATTTTGTTTTTTAGATTGAATAAATATATCATTGATCAACAGAAGGATTTTTTTTTCATAAATATGTTGTCCAGTTGAAAACCATTCTTGAACMCAGATCCTTTTYAACAGGRAATTGAAGGCTCCTTCGATTTTCCGTTGGAAAACTGARCAGGATCTGAGTACGAGAATGAGTTGAAACATACATTATAATTATATTATACATCATATAATATCAAAAAAATAAATTCTTTTGTAAATTATTATTGCCTTTTGCCTTGTGGAGGTAATGGTTATGATCCAGTGTGGTGGCGTAGAAACTGAAATACTTCCTTTGCAAACTCGAGCTGAAAAGGCTGAGGAGAGAGGAAATGGGTTCGAAACTTAGGTTTTTTTTCTGTTTATGCTTGATGAATGATAATTGGTTGCATACAGCTTTGGAAACATGCAGTTTAAAACAGAAAGAATGTAATGGCACACATATATAGAGGATATTACATGGGCGCGCGGAGATACGGATTTTATCTTATCATATAATTAAATATGAAAGCAAATTATGTCAGAAAATATCTTTTTTCTTACTTCCACTATATATAGAAACCTCGAATGTGTTATTTTCACTAATGAAAATAACATGTTATTTTCACTAGTGAAAATATCAATTTTACGTAATGGAGAAATATAGGTATTTCATAGATAATTATATGATAAATTCTGATATTGGTTGTGAAAAAAAATCTGTACGTTTATTTTTTTCATATCTTCTTCTTTGTTGAATGTAAAAATTAAATTGGTACTGCGATGTTTTGGTGTCAAACTGCTAGTTTTCATCAACAGTTTGCTGCCAAAAAATCAAAAAATATTGTACACTTAATTGGACTTTCCCTATGGAGTGCTTCTAAGAACTTTATGTACCTTTTCACATGACTTGTAAGCATCATTTTCWAGACATGTTTTTCTGAGCTGAGTGAATTTCTGGTTCATTGTGATGGTGATTTGTTTAAAGTGAGGAAACTGCTTAACCTGCAACAAAAGCATTTGTCATGCCATTAAATTCCCCTTGAATGTGCTTACTGTACATGCATTCGTAAAACGGATAGGAACTACTGGCAGAAAATTAGTGTGGGCTGCGTTGGTGGAACAGTAATTGTGAATTAATTAATTACACCATACAAAAGGAGAAGAATTAACTTGCTGACATTTTGGACATTGGTTTTGCATCAGAGTATACACCTTTTTACAAGTATTTCCTGGAGTAGACTGTTTTCATTTCAAAAATTGTTTAACCAATAGTATTTACTTCTAAAATAGAGTTAAAAATGACCAGCATTTGTWCTTAAATACCTTTTCTACTATATCTCGCTTGCATTTTGTCAAAAGGCTGAAAAAAGAGTAAATATTCAATGATCAATGAATGAAAAAAGTAATAAATAAATGTTCATCATGAAGTAGAGCATTTAATTAGAATTTTTTCATTGATCAAATTCAATGTTTTTTTTTCCTGGCATAGTGGGATTTTGCTGAATTAAAAGGGTTAAGGTTCACAGGATTATTCAGCCTTGTTTTGATGATTACAATCCAGTATAATAATTACAAATATGGCAATATAAAACTCCTCTCCTTACCTGAAGAAAACAATTGGCAGAAGTTTTGAGTACTTGTTGGGTAACAGTAAAGTTCTACAAGGAATATTATCTTCAATGAGCAGTCATCATGCTAAATTATTGCAGTTTTAGATGGAAGTTTTGTTTGCCAATTCTATTTTGATCTTGGTGATGACAGACAAATAATACTTATAAACTWAGGAGAAGACAACATGAATCTTGGGAATCTGCACAAACACAGCCACAAACAACCACAATCTGGACAATGAAAAGCTGGAGTATAGGAGCACAACAACAGAAAATGTACTAACCTCAACTGTTGAAGGTCATGACTGTAAATATGACTTTTATCATCTGCAAACATCAGAGAATTGTCAGTGCAATGTAATTCACCTCAACTGTCAAAGCAACTTCATTCTGAGAATCCAAAATGAATTTTTACAAACTCCAAGATATTTACAACAAAGGCATCATGGTGTGTGTAAGTTGGGGTGAACRACCTAAAAGTTAGGTCTTCCAGTTTGCTTCCTTTCTACTTTTCTCTTCCAACTAAGAAGCCATTTTGTACTACATGCCAGTATTTTATCATCGCTTTACCTTCCATAAAACAGAACAAGACTTCAGGACAGGACTTGAGTAGTTCCTAGTAAAGAATATTTATTATTTGTATTTCATTATTATAGAAATTGAATTGGGATGACAAAAACATGTTTTTCAATTTCTTACCATGGATGTCGTCCAAACTTGGCTGTTTTCTGATATCTGCCAAACAAATTTGTCAATTTAGTAATTAAATAAAGTTGAGACTGGTTTTATAGTGGATAAAAGAGAAAATGAAAAAGAAATGAATGAGAAAATAAAATGGAGTGAATGAAGAATGAGAGAATTCTACCTGCTGGTAATTTGAACATCATATTGTGCAACTTGTGTTTTGAAATGTTCACTGAATAGTTATTACCTCATTTTCATGAAGAACCATCTCTGAACATTGTGATAGTATACAAGCAAACAAACACACTGAAATCTGAAACAAAAAAAATCAAAATTCAATCTGGGGGAAACTAGTGGTAAATTAATATGAGCTGCGTTGGTGTTTCTAAAGAAACAGTTGACGTGTAAAAAGATAWTTTTTTTCTAATTAAAACCACCKWAAAAAGTAGGTGRAACAACTTACTGATGTTTCGGATGTTAATCCTTCATCAGAGTAAAGCTTTTTACACAACTGATTAAAAAGTAAATTTACAATAAAATTATGCAATATTATTGCAGTCTTCAAGAWGTAGGGATTGTACCTTTTTAAAAGATTCCACCTCCATCATGTTTTGCAATCTGTGATAGAAGTTCACAGCACTAAATTAAAATGTAAAAAAACAATATTCAGAGAAGCAACAAAGACAACAAATGGATATATAAACAGCAATATTTGTTTGCATGTTCTTCAGTGTCTTTTCAGCAATATTCAGAGACAATTTAAACAAGAATTCCAAATAAACTATGCTCAAGTGAGATTAGTTGTTGACATGTCATACATACTTTTTGCTGGTTTTGAGTCTCACGTTAAGACATGCTGCAATAATCCAAGGTGGATAATACATTAAATCTGGAATGGAAACACTGGATCCAGAACAAAAGCTGAAAATAATCAAAATAGTAAAATAAAGATTATAGTTGTTAGCAATGCTGTTGTTGAATTCACTTCTCAGGCATATGTTGTCATTATTGCTGCTAATATTGCTGTTGCAATAAGAGTTATAGTTGCTGTTGTTGCCATTGTGGGTCAAATATGTTGTTGTAATCAATACATTGAATTGTTGTCATTGTTGATGTTCTTGTTGCTATTTCCACCATTTTTATTTCTAACCATACAAACCTGGACATCCATCTATGAAGGGTTTCTACTTCACTAAAACCCAATGCATCACTATCCTCAGACATACATGACACTATAACACTGAGCTTGTCCCAGTAATGCTGCAAATCAATGACCCAAAAAACGTTTCACTTGTCAATAAGTACATGAGCTTGGCATTGTTGTTTTTTTTTTTTGCTACATGTCATGTAGGGGGGGGACTCCCTAATATCAAAGGGCGGGGCTCCTCAGCGTCCCTTTTAGGGTTTGAAATCAGTATTTTGGTCCCGCTTAGGGTGATCATGACAAGAATTCCTACCAACTGTGTTTTGTGGTCCCTTTTAGGGTATACGGAGACCCTRAGCAGTCATAAAATGGCAACGTCGTCATAAACTCAATACGAGCCGACGGTGTTCGATGATTGTGTAAAACACAAATAAAATCGGTAAACCAAAACAAAATGACCTGTTATTGATTGGTCCCTTTTAGGGTTGAAATTTCAGCACTGCCACGCCCATCATCTCACAATAGAGGTCCCTTTTAGGGGTCATTTTCACAATCTCCACCGAGGACCCCCGCCCTTTGATATTTACCAGGGTTGGACCCCAACTTGCTCACTAGTCTATTACATTACTGGAAACAAATGAGTATTTTTCCCCTATTTGGCCTATCCTAAATTTAAGTTAAACTTAATCTTACGTACCTAAATACAATGCACTACAACAAAAAAAGTTAAACTTACTTGTAGTGAAATGAAAAATAATGGGCACTCCTGGAAAAACTTTTTAATAAGTGACTCTGTTGTGTTTGACCTTAAATAACTGGAAGAAATATTTTAACATAAGTCCAATTTAATAACAAAGAAATATTCAAAAATAAAGTAGTGATAATCTCACAATTACCTGTCGTCTTTTGCGTCTTTCACTCTTGAGAGAGTAAGGAAACCCTACAAGAAAACAATATATCAAAAAATAATAAATTAACATCAAAAAGGAAAAAGATGAGAAAAAAGAATAGGTATCTTATGCCTCAATTTCTAATCATATGTCACAAGCGAAAAAGTAAGTGTCTGAACTTTACCTTTAGAAAGTGAGAAGTAATATTCAGAGGAAGACAGCAGGAAATTCCAGTATAA